CAAGCCATCTTCAGCCACGCAGACTAGGGCATCACTCTAGATATGGCCCCCAATAAAACACCAGGAGCCTGGGTAACAGATATTGTAGAGACACCATATCAGCTCTGGAATGTATATGCTCAGGCTGTTGCATGAGAAATGCATTTGTATTTCATTTAAGTCACTAATACTTTTGGGGTTTCTTTGTTACAGCAATGCCACCTGTATTTTAATTAATAAAAATACCATCAATTCAACAAGGATTTATGCCAGCTACAATGCTTATACCCTGCTCAGAGCTATCCGATGATAATAATCCTAACTGCAAAATTATGTAGTTGTTTTTTAAAATTATTTTATTTGGTTTTTAAGGGATGAGGGTCTCACGTTGTTGCCCAGGCTGGAGTGCAGTGGTGCAATCACAATTCACTGCAGCCTCAAACTCCTGGGCTCAAGCAATTCTTCCACTTCAGACTCCTGGGTAGCTAGGGCCACAGGCCCCACCATGCCTCGCTAATTTCTGAAATTTTTTTTGTAGAGACAGGGTCTTGCTGTGTTTCCTAGGTTGGCCTCAAACTTCTGACCTCAAGTTATGCTCCTGCCTTGGCCTCCCAAAGTTCTGGGATTACAGGGGTGAGCCACTACACCTGGCCTATGTAGTTGTTTATGACGTACGGTACCGAGAACCGCAGACCTCTCAATACAACTCGTTCTAAATCCCTGCACTAACAGAACTGACCAAACTCAAGGACGGCTTCTAGCAGTATAAGGCTATGTCAGCCTTCACCCCCAAATCCCCCATTAAAATGCCTGCCTAAAAACGCTCAAATATGCCAGGAAAATTTACTGTTTGCTGTCGCCAGTACCTGAGGATAGGCCCCGACCTCCCTTTCTTACAGCATTTACTAAAAAGGGCATAGAATTGTGAATATGTATTACTTGCAACTCAGAAGTCCTTCTCAAGGACTGAGAGAGCCATTCCTTTGAAATGTAACCATCAGGAAGAACAGGGCCTCTGACTCCCAGTCTCTGTGGGAGGATAGAAACCTAACTTAGATAACTCCCAGCTAGCAGACACAGCTGGCCTAATTGTATTTCTACTGACCAACCCTTTGTAATTTTTACTTCCCTGGTTCTACTGAGCAACCCCGTCAGGGTCTCCTTACTCCCTCCTTTTGAAATGTCCAAATCACCTGTGCACAACTGGAATCGAGCTCAGGTCTTTCCCCTACTGTCAATAGTTGCTGAATAAAATCTGTTTTCAACACTTTGACTAATGTTCAACGGCTGTATTTCTGACAGTACCTATACTGTGCCAGGCACTATGCTAAGTGTTTTGCGGAGATTAATTTAATTTTCACTGCAGCACCCATTAGATAGGCATTCTACTATCATTATCCTCATTTTAGAAAGAAACTGACACTCAAAAATCCTAGTGTTACTTATCCAAGGCCACTCAGGATAGTAAGTAGCCAAGATACGCACGATTTGAGTGTGTTTCTGACTCCAGCACTATTTTTTTTTTTTTTTTTAAGACGGAGTTTCGCTCTTGTTCCGCAGGCTGGAGTGCAATGGCGCGATCTCGGCTCACCGCAACCTCCGCCTCCTGGGTTCAGGCAATTCTCCTGCCTCAGCCTCCTGAGT